ACATCATAACTGCAGAAGCACCTTCAAATAAAGCAGATCTGACAATATGACAGATATAACTCATATATTTCCAGAAGTTTCAAAACTATGTTTGTGAACCCCACAAGACACACAAATTTCGTCACAGTCTTTGCAAGAAGAAAGTACTGGCGTCTTTTATGTTCAAGTCTCATTCTAAAAATATAAATATATAGTTGTTTTTAATAATTTATTTGTGGATTATTTAACAATACTGTCAACAGGTCAGATTAGACAGCGCTGAATGACAGGATGATAAGCGAATAACAAATTGGAACGGATGTGAAAGGAAGCAGAAACAGCCTAATTTATAACTGATCTGTCCACCTACTTTGAGGTCTCCCTAAATCCCATCTTGTTTGGTTTGCCCATTATTTAAAAAATGATTTACAGAACTACCATTATCCATACTTTGAACGTAATTATTACATTTGTGTCTTGAAGGTTAAGCTTGTCTAAAAAATATTTAGAATTTAGTCTGTACCGAAAAGAAAACACAGGACTTCACCATTACAAAGATCGACTTGCTAACGCTGTTTTAGGAAATAATCACTGTTTACAGTGAGAATAATACAAAATCAATAAATGCAAAATGAAGAGTAATTGGTTTTTAAAGTAGGTGGGGAAATATAGTTACCATTGAGCTTTGAGGGGTTAATCTATTTATTCAATTCAAAAATGTTTAATCTTCCCCTTACATGTTATGTTGTCTGTCAAAAACAACACCCCCATCAATATGTCCAAGGGCCAAGATTTGAACCCGGGACATCCCGAATACAAAGTAGGAATGCTAACCACTTGGCCATGATGTTCAGTGGGACTTACGTAAATGCTGCATAACTCAATGAGGGTGTTTCAGACCAGGATGCTCAGGAGAATATTTCGAACTAAGGATGCAGTGATGGGAGGTTTGAAAAAACCTACATAAAGAGAAGTTCCATAGTTTGTACTCCTTGCCAATGCTTTTTTCAGGTGATGTAATCAAAGAGTATAAAATGGCAGGGCATGTAGAAAGTATGGGACAGATGAGAAATGCATTACACACTTTACTTGGAATGCTTGAAGAGAAGAAACCAACTGGAAAACCTAGAAATATTAAGATATTAATATTAATATTATGGAAAATAGGGTTTGGGAGTATGGATTGGATTTAACTGGTTCAGGATAGGGACTGGTGGCGGGCTCTTGTGAACACAGCTATAAAAATTCAGGTAACGCATAATGTGTAGAATTTCTTGACTCACTAAGCAAACCATTAACTTCTCAAGAAGGATTCTGTTCCATGGAGTTAGTTGCATACCTGTCAAAGTTTTGCACAAAATATTGAAAGTTTTTCCAATCTGCCTGAACATAAGCTTTATCATACGCTAGTGTACTAGCAACTGTTCATATTGCCATGGCTGATAATTTCCTTTGCATAAAATTGCATACTAACAACTTCAATATGTGATTGGTAGAACTGTGAGATTTGAGGGTCTCGTGGCAATAACTATGTACATGGCTGTCTTCTGGGTTGTTTCGCCATGTAGTCTGGTAGAATGTACGATCTGAAGCTTTCACGGCAACAAAGTATAATAAATTCTTCTCGGGCTACCAGCCGTGTCAGGTGGCTTAATGAATCCACCTTACACAGCTGTTAACCTGAGAAGAATTTATTACAGTCTGGTAGAAGTATACTGATGTTTCCGAGGTACTTTCCGCCTCTATGAAACATTGGTAAAGTTCTTGCAGACTACTAGGCACAACAAACCATACGACAGACATTTTCAATTTGTAGAATTGACTTACCATCCTCAATGTGATATTCTATTGTACAGTCATGACTGCAGAATGCACTCATTGTCTTTATGTATCCTATTTGTTGTGAGTAGACAGAAACTGCAGCATCTGGATCTCTGAAGCGAATCCATTTTTTTTCTGGAGGAGCTGTAAACACAAAACCAATAATTTGTTAGGATCAATGAATTTTCAAGTCTACTGACTCTTCTAAACTCTGCAAAATGTTGAGTACAGGGCAAATTGATCCAATGCTAGTATAACTAAGGCATTCTGTATTAACGCAATCCTAAATAGTTTTTACATAATTATGAAGGGGTTAACAAACTTTAAAAACTCCGCTAAAAATTATTTACACACAAGTGTTTTACGCATCAAGAATAATGGGAAAAAGAAGTACTTAAAAAGCACATTTTATTGAAAAGTGTAACAAAGCAGCATATAAGAATTAAAATAATTACTTATCTTCGCTTAATTACAAAATCTGTGATGCATTAACATGCAAAAATGTGTTTTACTTTGCTGTGTATAAGTACACATACACAGCAGACCATGCATGATTAAACGTTCTTTTGATTCAACAAAATGTTTCCACAAAGCTGCATATAAAAATTGAAATTAAGCAATGTTGTATAACAAAAAAAACATTACTCCTGCCAGGAGCCGGGAAGTGACAGGTGTGTTCAACTTCATCAGTAAATGCAGTTGGGATAAATCTCTGTGCCTGAGAACCGTTAGGAGTAAAACGCAAGGGGGTCAGCAGATAATGAAGCACCCACTGGCCACACTATAAAAATGATTTTCCAGCAACAATACTTTGTAGCTTCCTGTATCATTTTCTGTATCGATAATGTCTCTGCTTTATGTAGTACGCAGTATGTGTGTGTGTTTTCCTTCCACAAGCCAGTAACACAAGCAAAGCCCCAATGTTGGTCCCAGGTACTTTACATGTACATAGTAGGCCATGACAGAAGTACAGTAGATCATGGATGACTAAACAGTCTTTTGTTTCAGGGCATAAAGCAGCACATAAAAATAAAAACTGTGTAATGTTATCTATAAAAAAATTAATCACGTCTTTGTTTAATTAAAGGATATACCACAATTTAATGCGGTGTAGTCTCATATATAATGTTATAATAACTGCTGCATTGTATAAAGTACATGTATATAGTATTATTATATTTATTTAATGTTCTGTCTGACGACAGGTCCATATGAACAGGATCCTTCCATCCTTTTCTCGGACTGGGACCTGTTCATATACGTTCTTGGCGGGAATCGAACCCGAGACCCCAGGATTACAAGGCCAGCGTCCTAACCGCTAGACCACCTCATCTTATTATTATTTAGTGTTCTGTCTGATGACAGGTCCATATGAACAGGATCCTTCCATCCTTTTCTCGGAATGGGACCTGTTCATAGTAGCCAAATATTATTCCACAAGGCTTTCATGTTTAATCACCATCGACACTAATGCCATGTACAACAGAACTATACAATGATGCATAAAGTAAAGTAAAGCAGTCCCGCTACACGCCAAGTAGGCGCTTGGGGTGAGAGGAGGTATACGAGCTCCTCCCTTTCTTGACCTCGGCACTAGATGGGGGTGAGTGGTCAGCATCACGCCCCAGCTGCGCATTACCCCCAGGAAAGGTCCACAGTATCCATTGGATAGGAGGTTGGGTGGGCCCCAGAGCCAATCTGTACGCAGAGGCCAGAGGAAAAATCCTCTACCCCCATCGGGGATCAAACCCCAGTCATAGCTGGTCATTATACTCACTGAAGTATCCTGGCTAATATACAATGATGCATGCAATCTTTAATCCAGAATTTGGAAAAATGCATGTATTTTGGTATGGATTACATCTTTCCATCTTTCCAGTCTTGTTACACACACACACACTTATGATGCAGGTGGGAAAGAATGTTCCAGTGAAATACATTTTTCAGCAAGGCAATCTAATGGTAATTTCCTCAGACCATAATAATAAACTTTTGTGTTTCATAAAAGGCTGACAGAGTAATTTCTCAAGAGTCAGCTTGTTTCAGCACACAACAGAATGTCTCCTGGCCAAAAATTTAAAAAGTAATTGTGACAAGCACTTGCTACGGCAGTCATGTGATCCCTCCACCCCTCCTGCAGCTTCTCAATATCATCACCAGGATGTACACAGAGCTTGGTGCTCGGATTATTGGAACGTAGCGGTCCATTCCCAAACATTCTCGAGTCAAATTAAGATAAAAAGAAACATCGAAAGGCTTGTACAGCACTAAAAGATTTTCTCTGACCATCTGTACATCTATATAAAGGGAAGTACAGTGTGAATTTTGAATATCTGCTGTAAAGCTAGCAAGAAGTGAACTGCATAAGCACTAAATAAGCTGTCAAACATGCGGAGATTCAGTCATGAGAGTTGAAGAGTTTTAAAGAACATATTGAAGATCCTGAAGATAGAGGCAATGTTACATTAAAACATCAGTAACCACCTATGCAGCATCACAACCCTGAAGTCAACAGTCAACTTATATTGGGCACTTTATGCAGATGAAGCAGATTTTGCCCATGAAATAAGTAAGCAGACTTCTGTTTATACCTGTAACATCCCCACATGGTGCCAAAGGTGTTGTACTCTGGGCACATGGTGTTGACTCTTCTGTTGTTGTACTTTCTCCCGGCTCACCTAATGGAGAAAGATAATCATATGCCGATGCAGAAATTAATGTGGCACCGTGACCTTCTAGATTTCTTATGCAGCATCAGCGGTATCAACGAGCTTCTAAATATTGACACTGCGTGTTTCTGACAGCATCCAGTGGGTTAATATAATAAGTTAGAAGCTGATGAATGACAGAAGGCAAAAGTAGCCCTAGTCATACCTTCTGACGTAACTTCAGTAGTCTGTGTTGAGTCTGCCGTCACAGATGAACAGTCACATGGTGTACATTCGGTGCTGGTGGTCGGTTCTGTTGTATCATTAGAAGCAGTTTCAGTAGTGCCTGTATAGAAACACAGAAACGATGATGCAGCTTCTGAATCTTCACGTCACTGATCTTCTTCAATCCATGGCTCCATACTGAAGTGTGCTGATAATTAATTATTAGTCTATGTTCCTATATGAAAAATAACTGTTCCCAGTTTCAGAGATGCTAGTCAGTGAATGAATCAATACAGAGTGGACAATCAACAATTCAAACTTCTCTAAAAAGCATTAAACTACACCCCTAGCCTACTCAATAATTAATTACTTTACATTTTGCATTAACTCAAAAATCCAACCTGATATTAGTCATCTGTATTTCACACCTCTATCCTACCCTTCACCTTCACACAAGCTATTTTTCATTTACTGTCTACTTGAAAACAATAAAAGTAAAGCTGGCCCGCTATACACCATGTGCACGCTTCGGAGAGAAGTTGTATAGCTCCTACTCATTCTTAACCTTAGCACTAGATAGGGGTAAGTGGTCAGCATCACGCTCTGGCCGTACTTTACCCCCGACAAAGGACCTCAGTACCCATTACATAAAAGGCTGGGTGGGCCCCAGAGTCGGTCTGAACACACAAACTAGAAACAAAATCCTCTGCTCCTGTCTCGAATTGAACCCCCGTCATCCAGCCTGTAGTCAGTCGCTATAATGATTGCGTTGCTCCAGCTTCCACTGTCTACTTGATCACACTTTATTTAAATCTGGGTGGATTTCCTCATTCATCATCCCTAATTACAGTACACATGACACCTGATATTTTTACAGGCCTGCTCCAACTTTTCCTTCAAACTGCTAACAAATGCCGCATTTGAGTGACTGAAAATAAATGAGCTATCAAATTCAATCCACAGTATTATTTCCTGTGATATACCTTCAGAACATTCTGTTGTCACAGAAGTGCAGTCACAAGGTTCAGACGGATCAGTAGTTTTATCTGTGCTGGTGACAGTAGTGATGTTTTCACATGGAAAATATGTGACTTCCGTTGTACAAATGCAAGCTTCTGTTGTACCTGAAGGAGAAACATACAGCTGAAGATTCTTCTTCCAGTTGCTAGCCTTCTTTAGTCTTCCTCAAACAACGGCTTCACTGCCGTTACTTTAACGAGCAGCACACAATGAATCTGTTCTTTGGAGGACCAACCCCGAGTTGTCTTACGAAATCCGATGAAGTGGCATGATGTTAAGATGGTATGTTTGTGACAATAAGTTTATGGATTAAACCACATTAAACAATCTTGCTGTAAAAAGCTTAGATTGAACACTTCATATTTTGGATCAATGATTTATATATCTGGCAAGGCAAATGAAATTATTGGATCTAAAATGTTTGTTGTTTTTAACGGCTTATTAAAGAAATGCTTGTATTATTATTTAAAAGTATTACAGAAGTTACATTCGTTAAATTCTACTAAAGAAATGGAATAATATTGTGAAAAATTGAAGAAATCATAAATATGAATGAAAAACGTTAAGGACAGAGAGAGAACTTAGTGGACTCTCAATTGCTTGGCCATCTCTGGATGTGCGCTTGAATTCGAAACAAATCCACTGTTACTAACAAGATCAACACTGACGCTTGAGGAAAGCTCTCGTCTTCTACACTAACGAAAATTGTTTATCAATAAAACCAATGGAGAAGCGAGAGATATTTAACCCACAGTCTCGCCACTTCCTTGGTTGATGCGACGTTTCTTCACTCACAGTCTTTCCCTTGGTTATGCCACTGACTCAAGGGGTTTAGCAATGGATAAATGAGCGGAAGATATCGAGTGGTCAGTTACTAAGATTTTGCAGAAAGTTGTCACACTCCCCTATTCCAGCATATGCTGCAAGACATTGAAATAAATTACGGGAAGTTCATAACAGCCAGATCCTGGCCAAGATTTCAACAAGACACCTTCCAGTTCAATTTTTACCTTAAATCACAAAAGATGTTTAAAGTGAGTTCCTTGTGCTTGCAAGCAAGTTTCACATCTCGTTAACATGTTTCGAAATACTCGACGAAGCTCTTCTTGGGAAATTGTCGAATATTTTCTTTTTGTGATTTAAGGTAAGAACAATTAATGTAATAACATGTATTAGTGACGAGAAATATTCGTAGCTCGCTGTTACTAGCGGCACCGAAACTGACTCGCCCGTGTCTCACGCGTACAAGTCCCGCCTACGTCAACAGCACCGGCCGATAACGCAATGTAAGCACGACCGTAACCTCATAAATTTGAGACCCGGTACATTACCACTGGGCTATATCTACCTCATTACACCTGCTATAACAGGACAACCACAATGTTATTCCCTTTTGTCTATGAATATCTGAAAGAAGTCAGAGATGAAATCAAGGAGACTACATTTTCAGTGGTATAGAACGAAACAATAGGGTTAAGAGAATTGAAGCTGGACTTTCAGATGAGGTACGCCACATATAAAATTTAAGTTTTTTGCTTGTAACTGTTTGACCTGTAGTTTGCACTTAAATATTATCCAGCTTCATGACAGAAGAAATAAATTATCTTATAATTCAACTGGGTCACTGGGGAATGAAACCGTGCCACATTACTACTGTCCCCTCTCTGTCCTGTTGGCATTTTTCATAGTATGCAAGAATATAAACTCCTTACATTTAGCGTATGAGACAAACAATTTTGTTTACATTAATCTTGTACATTTTATGTTATGGATTATCTATGAATTTCAACAGAATAACTTTTAAAAGGGCATGATTTCTCATGAAAACTGTCAAAGGCAGTTATCATTTCAATTTTAGTTTAAATTTGTAAAATTGTAAACTGTGATTAAAAATATGAATAAATGAAAATTAATGAATAAGTGAATGATAAAAAAATTAAATATTAATAATCCCATTATATCCTGTAATATACCTGAAGGAAATGATGATGATGTGCTGGTAATGTCTTCGGTTGAACAAGGTGGGCATTCTACAGATTGCGTTGTTAATTCCGGACATTGCGTTACTTCTGTTGGGCAGGCTGGGCACGTACACATTAATATTTCTTCTGTGGTGACATCTGGACACGTTTGCACTGGACATTCAGTGGCAATTTCAGTTGTACAGGGCAGGTACACTGTTGTTGGTTCTGTCGGACACGTGAAAACTTCCGTTGTACCTGCAGGAAAAATGATCTTCTGAATTCCATTCTTCCTCGATCTTCAAATGGCTGCACGACTCATGCAGGTGCTTCTCTAAACAGCAGCTCACAATACATTTGTTCTTCACAGGAACAATCAAGGGCAGATTTCTGTATACAGTTTATTAACAGGATGCCCCAGCTATCTGACATAAGTCTGTTCAGAGAATTTTAATACCGTATGTCAGGAGCACAAATTTGCCATAAGAAGTTTGGGTGGCTTATAAAATTAAATTTAACATAATTATTAACTCTTTGAAGCTTAAGTTCATCTTAATAATATTCAAAGAAAACGCTATCTATAACCATAACAAAAATCATTCTGTTAATGCTGTTTAAGGAAATAAATGCTGTTTACTCAAAGAATCATACAAAACACATAAATACACCCTACGGGTAAAATGTAGAAGTGTTGATTAATAAAGAATGTGGGAAGCCACTAGGCTTTAAATGGTTATGATAATCAACTCACTGGTAAGCAATCTGGGACCTCCTGCACTTCATAAGGTGGTCCAAAGATTAATTTCACAAAATTATAACTGTAAATCATCATCATTGGCAAAACTGCCCTTTTGGAGCCAAAGTCTTCCTTAGAAGATTCTGCCACATTTGACTATTCCTGGCCATGCTCGTCTAGTTTCTTTCTTTAACATTCTTGTCCACTCCATCCTCCGATCTCATTTAGGCCTTCCTCTTCCTCTTCTTCTTCTGCCTTCTGGTTTGGCATTAAGAATACTTTTTTCAGGTTGTTGCTGGTCCATTTGAACAACACGACCAGCCCATTTCAACCTACCAACTTTTATAGAAGTTATAATATCCGTGTCCTCATACAAAGCATACAATTCATAATTGTACCTAATTCTCCATTTATTGTTGTCTTTGATTAGGCCATATATGGACCTCAGAAACAGGTTAAAACGTAGGCCTCCATAATTACTTACATAAAATGTAAACTGAAGAGAACTTCAAAAATAACGAACAAATATACAATTTCACAGTGAAATTGTAAGTTATATATATAATGCCACACTGCCAAAAATTCTTAACAGGAGGCATACAGAAGTTTACTGAAATATAGTTTATGACATTCGAGGCAATATAATGAATCTTAAATATTAATGGCATTGCTGTTATAATATAAGCACGTATCAAATTGCCAACTCAGTTAGCTAGATTATACAAAATTTACGACGTTCTGACAAACCATGTACTGATTTAACAGCTTCAGTAACGTATAATGATGTCCATCACTTCTGTTAAGATGTTCTTAGCGGTCTTGCTAAACACTAATCTCGCATATAATGTTAGAATTCACAGAATGGAAACGATGCATTGAAACAAAAGACCCATGACCCATGACCTATGACCTACTATGTACATGTAGAGCTATACAATGCAGCAAAACCATTTTTACTTGTTCACACTCAAGAATATAGCGTAATTCTGCAGCTTTGTTAACTCTGATTGCAGAACTTTTATTTTCCTGCACATCAGCTTTCAAATGAGCGGCTGGACGCCATCTCAGGCGCTTTCATTCACTCACATTTCTATTACCTTACAGAATTAAATATATAGCTTACAACGTCATCATTTGGCTCACGATCTAGAGTGGGTTTTAATCTTCATAAGTCATCCTTGCGTAATAAACGCTGCACATATCACGTTCAACTTTTAGTACCACATGAATGCAATATTCTGAATTCAGATTTACATGAGAAAATATAAGATATTTATTCCATGTTTTATGGAATGTATAATAATGTAAGAACAGAATAAGATTGAAAGCAAATGCGGAGAAAGAACACAGATAGCGATTAAAATCACTGAACTGCGTACATACTTTTCCAACTTGTCACTATATTAAGATTTGAAGTTTTTAAGATGGTGAGTTTGAAGACAGCCACTTCTAACACTATATAAATTTGTTTTAATGACGCCCTGTTTTGTGACTGGTTTATAAACAAGAGATACTACAATTCTTGATGAACAATCCTATATTTTCTTTCTACGACATGAAGCACCACGCACACACTAGTCTGTACGACTGTTGCTGATGCCAGTCGTTGCTTCATCCACGTTTAGATCACGACACCTGACCGACTGATTCTAGAAAGTGGCACTGATATCAAAGCATATTCATGTGAGCTACGCAGTTTTCTCAGATTTTAATTTTTGACTCAATTTCTTGCATGAAAATTTAGGTTTTTAAAGATGATTTATGTATATTTTTGGTACTAACAACTTAAATTCTTCCCAAGTGGAAATCGGATATATCTGTAGCTTACAAAACGTTCTAATAAACAGATTTATGGAAAAATTGACACGTTTTCAGTGCAGTGAGTACAGTGACTATGTTGAGTGGGTGCCTTGTCACCCCAGCATTGCACGTCCTCAGGTTTAAATTCATACCCACAGTCTCAATTTGGAAAAAATAAACAATTACCGCAACAATAAATTATTATTCTTATTATCCTTATTTATAAAATGGGACCCTTTTTTAAAACACATGAAGACACAAAACACTGCATATAATATCACATCAGAAACGACTAAAGAGGAGAAATTTCATTTAGTTATACAAACATCATTTTATAGGAGGAATTATAAGAACTACATGACTTCACATGTAATATATGTGAAGCACTGACTTAATCAGTTTCGCTGTCACCAGATAAATAAAGGTAATGAAAGGAAAATATCACACTGGATTTCTAACCAAATTATGGAATTATTTTCTATGAAAGTAAACACTACGATCACAATAGTACTGAATAAATTCATAAAACTTCCAGCAGGAAAATACCTGAACCTCTGCTATAAGCGGCAATCAGAGATCTACAAAACATGACAGCTGGTTAAGCACTTGAGCAGTATATCAAAGTTTCACTTACTTGTTGGTGGGGGAGTCGCATAATTGCCTGGCAGCGTTACGTGGATCACAGTCCTTCCGCTTTGACCGGTATCTCGATGCGTTGCCTAGAAATAACCACAGTTTCGCCATAATAAGGAGCCTAATAAAATTAATAATCTTCCTTTAAATGAATCACTTCACAAAGTTGATAATGATGTAAGTAATGCAGTTCAAAATTACCACTAAGTAAACTAAAGTTTGTCCCACTATACGCCATGTAGGCGTTTGGGGTGAGTGGAGGTATAGCTCCTCTCTTCCTTGACCTCGGCACTAGATGGGGGTGAGTGGTCAGCATCACGCCCCGGCCGGCTTTACCCCCGGGAAAGGACCCCGGTACCCATTGTAGAGGAGGCTGGGTGGGCCCCAGAGCCGGTCTGGACGCAGAGGCTAGAAGAAAAATCCTCTGCCCCCGTCGGGGATCGAACCCAGGTCGTCCAGCCCGTAGCTAGTCACTATACTGACTGAGCTATCCCGGCTCATTCTATTAATGTAGTACTTCAAATAAATCAGATTAGCAATAAAGATGCATTACTTCATAATCAACAGTGGAGGATATGATACGCATTACATAGAACAGCGTGTGTATATATATTAAAAAATACTCACCACCAGAATAAGGACACCAAAGTTTCCACTCAGTTCTGTGATGGAAGACGACTCTCTTAGTGTCACAGTTACAGTATCTCCGCTGATGTCTGCATCAAAGAATCCCTCAAGATCTATAAATTAAATTATATTTCATTTAACCCGTGTTTATTCTTACACACAAACACAGCTACTACATTTTTAAATCAGACACTTCCCTAACTTGACCTTATTTTTAAGGAAGAAACCAAAATCAACAATCAACCCACTCTAACTTGACCACGTGTGTGTGATGTGTGTCCAAAATGAACTTACTCACATGTGGCTACTCGCCTTTTTATTACAATACGCTCCATTCCCAATGCGTTTAGAAACCGATCAATCGATATGGAACATCAATGATATTTTATTATCTTAATTATAAGAAATTTTAAATATTGTGATAAGACGGATTAAAATAAATAATTGAAACAATTATTACTGAAAATTGTGATTTGGGTTCCAAAAACATTAAGGACATATATTGACTAGTTCAGTGAACAATTAATTTCTCAAGAACAATTCTGCTCTATGGAGTTAGTAATTTGGTACACAAACACATAATTGTACACGTTTTGGAACTCATCAAAACATAAACTACTTCAAACTAATGTTATTTTTTTATCTGTGAGAAAAAACTGCTGTGAACCTGTGCATGTGTCTGTTTTGTGTATTTATCCCAGGAAACAACGCCTCATTTTTCTCCTTTCAATTTTCAACTCATTTAATTAAGCGCTTTTTAATTTTTATACTTAAGCTGGCAATTGAATCCAACTTAATGATTTATTTCATAATTTCCCGACCAAATAGGACACTAAACTGACGCCTTTCTTTTATATTGGACCTACAAGAAGCTTAGTTTTAACAGGGATTAATTCTCTCCACACACAAGGTTGAACAAGATGGTAGGAGAATAATTCATTGACAGAAACTGATCTGTACTTAAAATATAACATATTTTAATATTCAAAGTTTTAAATTCACAGTGCAAAATCTTTCCAATTATAAAATATTCTGTTTCACATCATCAGGAACTGATTTGCAAATGTTTCAGGAAACTCTTGTATTATTTACTTTGAATTTTCAGTAATTAGCTGGTTCACAGTAAGTTGAAACACCCTGATGAACTGTGGAATAGTGATTACGAGTTTTGGGTAAATGTTAAATAATTTTAATTCACGTCATAAGCATGCTTCAAGATACAGCACATTGTGCTATATACAATATCTCTCACAAAATTGCGTGCTTCAAGGCCCTCAGAAGGACTTTGCCCCCTTTACTGCACAGCTCAAAGTCACCAGTACAGCAATATGCTGCAAGTTCTTAGCCGTCTTCACTCACTGGGGGGCTGCTGTTCATGCTGCGTTGTATGACTGTGCTGTGACCTTGAAGCGTGCAATTTGGTGATAGTTACTAAGGATTTATGACACGGTAGTAATAACAACTTACTTTCACCATGTGAATACGCAAGACCCACGTCAACTTCCGCAGAAAAACCTTCAACTAAGGTTGCCTTTATTGGACCAATTATGTCTTCTCCCTGAACAAATTAAGACAATTATGGTATCTTTCCTTAAATATTGTGGAACACAGATATTAAATATTGCAGATTTGTGTAAAATGAAACAGTTTCATTATCTTTATATCATTAATATCATATCATACGTATAATATAATGAAATGAAATCCGTGGCGTAACAGCTCCAGGGAGCCAAAGCCGACTAGCTTGACTGCTGGCCTCACGTTCACATGCCTAAAGCAGAGGTGAACGATCATCCAACCAGATATAGGGTGACGTGTGGTCAGCACGACGAACCCCCAGACATCGCTAGCTTTCCTGACCGGACATATAATATAATATCAATCATTATATATATATGATGCAATCCCTTTATTCCTAGAAATTTACTATATGCATTAACATCTGTGTGCATACTTCATATAAATTCCCAAAACAAACACTAGACAATTTCAACTTTGAATTACATTCTCAATGGCTCGGCTCGCCAAAACCTATCAAGTAACATGCACTGGAGGCAGTTTCACATGAATTAAGGTAGTTGGAGTGACAATGACAAATCCCAATACATCTAAAAAGATGTGAAGCACATTTTCTTTCTCTTTACGTAATGATGCTTAAGCAAGGATTTAGCTTTAAACTAAGCGTGTGCATGCATGCGTGTACGTCTGTCTCTTCAAGAACTTTGGATCAAACTGGCTGTTTTTAAAGATGGCTGTCTTCTCAACTGTTGCACTTTGTAGTCAGGTAGAAGTTTGCTGACATTTCAGAGCAATTACCCTGATGATGGAGACAGCAAGAACCTTTGAAACATCAGTAAATATCTACCAGACTATATGGTGCAACACCCCGAAAGACAAACTTGCTGTTGTAAGGATATGAAATTTCACTTCGCTGTTTATATCACGTATGTTACATGTGCCATGCCTACGCTGAAAATGGAGATGATATGTTCTTCCAAAATGTTGATAAATACCTACACAACTACATGGTGTCATAACGCAGAATATCACAATTCTCATTTGCGCTTCCAAGACCCTAAAGATCTCATAACTAACTAATTAAATTCCCTGGTAGTAGAACCCGGGGATCCAACACCATCAGACATGATTCTGAGCCAAAATCATCCATTTACCATCCTCATAGCCCACCTCCCTAGGATCCATCTTGATATCGTCCCATTTCCTTCTTGGTCTGCCCAGTGGTCATTTTCCAGGATATCCCACTGAAATTCTGTATGCACCACTTGAATCCCTCCCCCATGCGTGTTACATGCCCAGTCCATCAGATCCTCCTAGATTTCACTATCCTCACTACACTAGGTGACCCGTACAATTCACGAAGCTCCTCGCAATGCAATATTCTAAATTCCCCACTTGCTTCATCCCTCTGTGGTCCAAATATCCTCCTAGCACCGTTTTCAAACACTCGTAATGCTACGTGTGCATTAGTTTGTCAGTAGTTCTCAGAGCCGTGCAGGGATATGATTTGTCATAATGTGGGTTAATTTGACATTCTGCAAAGATTTTATATTAACCTTTATCATTTAAACCGCCGAATCAAGAGACTGCCGGCCAGACTTAAACGCTGGGTTTTTTAACAGTACGCTACTATGCCACACGGCCAACTGGATCACATGCAAGCATTGACGCATGGTTGCCAAATGTTCTTCAAATCTGGGGGGGGCGCACGCACACACACACTCTATTCTCGTTTCAGGCATACAGAATCAAACTGAAAATTAGCTGCCTTGACCAAATGAACTGAACCCCATTTTTTCATCATCCAAGACAGCTCAGTCCAGTTTACATTTTCACAACCAAATTCCTGCAAATTTCATGCATTACATGTACAACTGTACCTCCTCCCCGACATTAATCTCACCAAGTTTTCCGTTCATAAAACTTACATCTTTTATGTCCAAAATATGAATTGGCTCCTTGAAGAGAGGAGACTGAGGAGTAGAAACCTCTAAATTTGGTGTTAATGTTATTTGCACTACACTTGACAATCCTGTGTCCCCAGGAAATACATCCTGAAACATACAACACACTTCACAGAACTCAGCGACAGCAGATTCCTTACAAAATAAATCATCTGTCGAATGTTATAAAATAACCATCCAACGCAACTCGGTTATCATTTTTATTAGCGACTCGATTAATTTCAAACCTGAGGTCATCAGTGGGATTTCACAAACTATTTGTAAGCTAACTCAGGTTATTTTATGTAAAACCAAGTTAAACAAATACACGTACAACACACTGAAAGATGGTCGTTGTCTTCTGGGTTGTAGTGCTGTGTAGTCTGGTAGTTTACCGATGTTCCAGAGGTCCTTGCTGCCTCCATCAACAGGGTGATGAGATTACACAGTGCTACAACCCAGAAGACGGTCATTTTCATACTCACCACCGTGAATCCTGCATTAAAATATGTTAATACAAACTGTCGTAATAAAAGGCATTCTGTAATATAATATATGATAAAATTATTGTCATAATTTTAGATGAATTCCTGTGATGACCTATCTCATTTCAATTTTCGTCATCTACTGTTTCAAATCCCGTTATCCCTTACACCTGTTGACAGATCATATGATGTTTAATTAAGTGATATATCTGCACATAATTTATAGCAGACATGCACAGATGTGTATGCATACTAAGTTCATAAACAACTGAACAATATGTAGAAGTATTTCATAAACAAATTCCATGCACTAGATCAACAGATACGAGGAACAACACGGGACTTAAAAACAGAAGACGACAACAAAATTAAATACGACAGATCATAAATGTGTGACAGATATAAGAATTTTAACATAAAAATCCTGACAATTTTATCTATACATTTAATATTAATTATAAATTATTTTATACCATACAAACGTAAGTGCAACAACATGAATTCAAAATAAAGTCAAACCATATTGTATCTGGCCCATTATGGTTGCTCTTGTATAAAGATGTATTGATACTGTAAAATTGTTCATCATAATCATATGTTTGTTATAAAGTGTGTCCAAGTTTCATCACGTCAAAAAATATGATATAATTTTCACAATCAGTTCTTTTATTTAAAAGAAAATTGTCAACTTCATTGGGCCTCAGGATGGGAAAAATCAAATAAATTAACCTTGTGTAAGAAAATATCGTTTCAAAAATTGAAATATAATTTGAAATTTAACCGTCAGTGATAAAAAAAATCACAAGTTATTGAACATTTTATACCAGTTCCATGAAGCACAGTCCTAATCAGGAAGCTAAAGGTTGCTCGACTAGTGAAAAAAATCTCATTCCTTTCATGGAACATAATAATTAATTATAAGAGTTTGTTCACAAAACTCTTTTCTTAAGCTCCTACCTTAGTCTAGGTCAGTGAAAGCAGTCTCTTCCCTTCAGGCATTTCAATTAAAATTCTGTATGTGTATATTACTTCCCCACGTGTGCTACATGACATGCCTTCCTTCATTTAATCATTCTGATATATTTTATGAAGATTATAAATTATGAAGCTCCATGGTTACTAAAATCATCTCTAAATACAGCCAAGTTTCAGGAAATAGGTTTACATCTTCTGTCAAAATTTGTGAGGGCAATCGAATATATCCCCACTTAATGGTACCTCCACCTTGTCGTGGTGGTGGGGCTTGAGTACCTCAGTGACCCCAAGAGCTACTGGTAGGGCCTCCTAGACAGATTGGTCGAGGGGGAGAGGTCAGACTAAGACAGGTACCCTGGTCCTCCAGGTTGGGGGTTGGTCGCAAGGCTAACGACCTTGCACCGTAAAAAGGAAGATGTTTCGAAACCTCGATCGAAGCCTCGGACAGACGGACCTAACAGAGGACCGAATGGAAGAGGAGAATTGAGGATGCCATGGACCGAACACGGACCGGAGAGCCATACAAGAAGAAGTTCCGTAATTAAGATGTAAGATTCCGAGGTTCATTTACTTTGATACAAGGCACCCCATCTGGCCCAGTTTATTCTGTTTTATTTAAAAATGTTATACTCGACAGCTGTCAGATACTTGATGTATATGAACACATTACAAATCACCAGATTCACTTTTGTGAGATTTCAGATTCTCGTGGCAATGAGTATGAAGATGGCTGTCACCCGAAATGTTCCACTGTGGTCTGGTAGACGTTTACTGACGTTTCAGAGGTGCTTACTGTCTTGATAATGGAAACAGCAAGCACCTCTGAAATGCCAACAAACTTCTACCGCGCTACACAGCACAAAAACAAAGATGACAGCCACCATGAGAACCTAAAATCTCACACATGACACCATCTTTAATTCTACTTTTTAGTTGAAATATGTTAAAACATTTATAAGTTACATAATATTTCATGAATTGTCTATGTCAAGTGATATAACATAAGAAATAAACTTACATAAGCAGTCAAAGAAAATGTAAGTGGCTGTACAATATTGAACGTTTCTGTTGTCTTCAGACTCACGGCCCACTTCTTCCCATTTCTTTTTACGGAAGACACTTGAAGCTTTTCCGCTGCTTCGCTCAGAACAAATTCCACTTGGCTTGGATACTGGTTATTATAATCAAAATCTGTTACTTCGATGTCTGTAACACCACAATCTCCGATAATGGTAGAGCCCACAGGTAATGGCACAACCAGACTGATATCGTAACTTGATTCCAGGAATGTGGGGGGGTACCCATTTGTAAAGCGATCTATAGATAATCTGAATTCCTGCAAAACATAATGCTGTTAAATTTTCCATACATTTACATGATAAAATCAGACATCGCTACTTCACTGCACACACATAAAACTTACCACTTTCACTCCTGGTCTACAATCCGTCTCCAAAATTACTGTGAGAACGTGGGAGAAAGACGTATCCTAGAAAAAAATATAGATAAATAACAACCATTACAGAAGCATTTTAAATGATTAGTACAGATTGCAGGTGTTTGAGAATCGGGTGTTGAGGAGGATATTTGGGCCTAAGAGAGAAGACGATGGGGCGTGGAGAAAACTGCACAATGACGAGCTTAAAAATCTGTACTGCTCCCCCAATATTGTCAGGGTGATTAAGTCGAGAAGAATGAGATGGGCGGGACATGTAGCGCGCATGGATGGGACAAGAGGTGTGCACCGGGTATTGGTTGGGAAACCTGAAGGGAAGAGACCGCTGGGGAGACCTAGACGTAGATGGGAGGATAATCTCAGGCGGGATCTATGGGAGATAGGAGTTGAAGGAGACAGGGTCCAGTGGAGGGCTTTGGTTAACTCGGTGATGAACCTTCGGGTTCCCTAAAACATCTAGTTAGTTAGTATGAAGTTTCAGGTTACTGACATTTTAAAGACTAGGCTGCACATGTGGCTAGTATAGGGGATAGAAGGAATGAATATAAAATTTTGATGGGGAAACCTCTTCAAAAATGGCTATCTGGAGGATCAAAAAAGGCACAGGAGGGTAACATAAATAAAGATTTTGCAGAAATAATCTAAGGATGACAGATGGGTGGAACTCACTGCGGACTGTGACCAAACAGCAGGCAATGCTATCAGTGGCATATTACCACAGCGTCCATCAGTAGTTTTAAGAGGAAATTTTAAATTATCCTGCCTTGGTATGTTTTCTGTTCACAGATATAATGGGTCTAGATATATTTTCTTAGAGTGAAAGAAATTCAAATCTGATAGAAATGCTTTTAAATGGCATGTACAGGCCTGCCAATCAAATATTTTAATTTTTTATTTATTGAGTGATGAACTCTGTAGCACAGTCGTATATCTGGTATGATCCAAGAAGGTGAACATTCGTTTCATATATTTTGATTCGAATGAGCAGAAACAAAGGATATGTAATTTCACGTCCTTTCTGTTGTCGATAATCCCACTAAGAAAGTCCAAGAGAAATTGCAACAGAATCAAATAATTTAAACCAGGTATGCGTATACGCTGATGATAAGAAAATATCAAATCTTTAACAAATCTTGTTTTGTATCAATATTCATCAGTCAATGAAATGATATTCAACTACAACAAAGGGCATAAACAGAATTATTTAAATTCTTAAGTATTAAAAATACTGTTATATACATTTTAGCAGTTGTTAAAATTTGGACTTGGTAAATCATTTAGCAAATCTGAAGAAAAAAAAATGTTATTGTATGAAGTTTGTACAATAAGTTACAATTTTACACACACATACACGCCATGTAGTCTGGTCAGGGCGATGATGGAGGTATCAAGGGCCTCTGAAACGTCAGTAGATTTCTACCAGACCACATCATGCAACAACCCAGCAGACAACTTTCTTCAGACTCACCGCTGTGAAAACTTCAAATCCTACTTAATTTTTGAACTTTTTAACTGTTTTCTATATATTTACCGTTAGAAGCGACAAAATAGAGAACAATGCCCAAAGAATTGTCCAAGGATTAAAACTCATGCTACTTTTCCTGGATTTTCAATCTTTTAGACACCGACTAATAATTTTATTTTCAGGTCCCAGTTCCATCTGACAATATCTCGAAACCGGGTTCAGATGGGCAGATGTATGAACTCGCCTTTGAGAATTATAATACACAGACTTGTTTCTTGGCATTCTATTAAATTAAAAGTCAGTATTTAACAATTATTTATAATATTTCTGTTGACATTATGTGCTTCAGTCACCTGAAGTGAATTTTGATGCATAAGAAAAATAGGATAAATGTGAAAACCAAGAAATGTATAGAAATTTTTGAAATGGGCACCTCTTCGAAGGTAACAATTGTAATATCGAAATGGATCTTACAGAAATAGAATGCATGGTTGTGAATTAGTTTAAAACAGAGGTTAGTAAAGAACTCCAGGGTCAGCTGTAATGTTAACAGAGAGTTAATTAGCAATGACAAGAAAATTAAAATTAAAATCTTTCATACCTCTAAACTTTCCCAGTCCTTATAGCTTTCAGTTAAGGATATTTCAAGTATGTCACCATTTAAATTAGAGGAAAGATATTTGCTTTCTCCTCCTGAAACTAAAATACTTTTGTTAGTACAAGTTTAAATTAAGTATCATACTCTTCAATACAATTCCTGTTCCTCCATCTGAACTCTGCATACACATCACAGCTGAGCTAGATAGGAAAATAAGAAAAATTATTTGTGCAAATCTTCTGGTAAAATATGACATTAGGCATTCAGCTATCTTGCAATTGTATAATTTTGTTCTCTCTGGGGAAAAAAGAACATTCACACATACAACAAAAGCAAGATATTTCTTTCAAAGTTACGCTCACCCAGTTGTAATATGATTGAACCAATATAATACTGACTGTTTACTGGCAAAAGTATAGTTGACGATAGCTGCCTTCAGGGTTGTAGTGTCATGTAGTCTTGTAGAAGTTTACCGACGTTTCAGAGGTCCTTGCTTACTCATGACCCTGATAACGGAGGCAGCAAGGACCTCTTCAAGACTACATGGCACTACAGCCCTGAAGGCAGCCATCTTCATAAATGATGGTTAAGTTTGATAGCATCAGGAATATTTATTTATTTTATTTAGTGTTCTGTCTGACGACAGGTCCATATGAACAGGATCCTTCCATCCTTTTCTCGGACTGGGACCTGTTCATATACGTTCTTGGCAGATGATCCAGAAGTGGTTTGCCATTGCCTTCTTCTGTGTGTGAATGGAGTAATTGTTGGGATGCCACGGAGGAAAACTCCGTGTTGCCTAGACCACGGCCTTGCCCAACACAAGTTATAAATTCGGGCACCGCCGGGAATTGAACCCGAGACCACAGGATTACAAGGCCAGCGTTCTACCCGCTAGACCACCGTGGCTCTATCAGGAATATAAACAGGCCAATAAGAAAACTAGCATAAAACAGATAAGAAAATAAATGTAAACTGAACACAAAAACAAAATCATTAACAGCTTCATAATGTAAATGTGTATAATAAACTGAGAACTTACATATCTGGGAACAACCACGAACAAACAAAAATAGATTCATGATGAAATCAGGAGAAGAATAAATTTTGGAAATTATTATTATTATTCTTCAGTTTAAAAATTTATTATTCTGTCCACAAAACAATCCTGCCAGTTGCCTTGCATAGGAATGAAAAATTCTCTTACTTTTCAGTCAATAACATGAAGAAGAGACCGCGGCGTTTCGGAAACTGGCTCTGTTTCCGATTTCAGGCGAGAGGTACCTACTCAGTTGGGTCCGTCAGATAGAGCTAGTCTCCATCATTGGAGACAATGAATAATTTTAAGTGTAATCCACTATCGTCAAAACGCTTTATAATCGAATGAATGACAAGTGTTTGAAAACAAAATTCTCAGGAAAATATATGCTTTGTGACTGACACAGATCACCTAGTTTCGCTATCATATTGAAATACAGAAAGCTGCTATTGGCTGAACATGTAACTTGAGTGGAGAGTGAGGAATACATACAGAATTCTGTTGGGAGGAAACCTCTTGGAAAACAGCAAATTGTAAGACCAGAAAGGAGACAGGAGATTAAGATGTAGCGGCGGTGTGCGCGGAAGGGTCAGGGCGCGAGCCCGCCTGGAGCCGCCGCCGGTGCAGATCTTGGTGGTACCTTTGGCATTAGCAGTACTGAATCTTTATATCCTTGTACAGCGTTAGTTAATATTCGGAGACTGATGAAGTCAATCAGCAAGTAGAAAACAGAAAAGGTTCACAAGTCTTAGTATTACTCAGCTCCCCTTTTGTTGCTAGTCTGATTTGGTTCAATAAATCTGATAAAATTATCTGCCTTTGTTATGTAGTTCTTAGAATGAGTACGTAAGTAATGTCCATGTAAGCGACAAAATTATCATTTCTGGCGAATCAGTTATCGGTTTCCTCAATTTTAGTTCCTTCAGAAACAGAGATACAGTGTAAAGGACGTCTTTAGTACGGTAACCAGCTAACGCGGCTGGTTGCCCGAGAAGATTTTGTTGATTGCGCTCGCCGCGAAAGTCTCAAATCCGACATCTTTACTGTTTCTAATTTCACGGAAACTGACAGAGTGAATTTCTAACTTCAAATGATACTTAAATCTATGTTATGAAGACAATGACCTGAGAGAGATTAAGTAACTCGGCTATGCCGTAAGTCTCAGAACTAAATTTACGATACAATGTTGTGACGACAGAGTCTGCTAATACGAAAGCCTAGTAAGACCACTTCCAAAAAGTAAGCAGCTTAATACCAAATAAGGAGTTTTATAACATTCTTGCATTAAATCCAATAACTCTAAGCAACTATGCATCTGAGTTTGTACTATGGGCACATACGCAAGTTTCTGACATTTTAGAACAGAAATGTTGACATCGTTTACTGTAAAATAAGAATTGTGCATATAATTTTCATTTTCTCCATGAGGAGCCACTTTTACTTTTATTTTTGAACTAATTTCTTATTAAAAAAACACAAGGACTCTATTTTCTTGCATCCTGCATTCAATGCATCAACCAAAGCTTTTTTTTTGTGGGCTGTGCAACAGCTCAAGCAGTCAATTCCTGATTTCTCAGCATAGACGCCTGGGTTCGTGCCCACGCGGGATTCATGGTGGACAAAATGGCACTGGAACAGGGTTTTCTCAGAGTCCTTCTGTTTTCCCCTCTCAATATCACTCCGCCATTGATCCACATTCACTCATGTATCATCTGGGGATGATAACTGACTAGAGTGATGATTTTGAACCTAACAACACAGCATTCATACAGAGTACCACAAAAATTCCTAAATTGGTTCAGAATTTATTACAGAGCACAATCAGACAGACAGACATACATGGACATCCACATAATTAATTTAATTATCCATACAAAATCCCAGCCTGGGTTGTTTCCCGTGGATAAAGCGCGGCTGGGGCATGATGTTAACCACTCGCCCCATCTAATGCCAAGATTAAGAATGAGTTAGAGGTATAATCCTCTCCCCCCAAGTGCCTACATGGCATATAGTGGGACAGCTTTACTTCTTTTTTATAGAAAATAAGACAGGAAAGTTAAATTATTATAAGTAGGTTTAAGGAGGGAGATTATTATTATTATTATATGCTGTAACATGGAGATAAAATAAAATGGCTGACTCTTCAAGTTTCAAAATGGCAAAAACTAAGACCATGTGTTCAGTTCAAAATAATAACCATGATATATTTATTTATGACCCTTAAAATATTAATTAATGCATCCTTCTTATAATAATGCTTCATACCTGGGTCAAAACTGACAATTCCGTAAGTTTTGCCAGCGTAAAGTAATCGAGGAACTTCATTATCTGAAATTTCTCCAATTCCTATATACACTGTTGAATCTGGTGCAACATCATCAAGATTCACCTCTGAATCATTAGGTCGAAGGAAACTGCAACCTGCGTAAGAAGACAATTTTATTATTAGTACCTGAAAATATCTCTATTCAAAATTTCAGTCATAGAATTGCCACATTGCCACTGTGTTGTACCTATTACTCAAAATAATGACTGACTTCAAATTCATTCATTTAACAATTTTTAAAATAAACATAACTTTATTTCATTTATGGCATATTTAATGATGCTGTTATTATCACAGATCTGTAGTGTCAAATGGCATGATCGTTAATGAATAATGATTTTGAAAGGAAACAATGAAGCAGTGATGACTTAATTTAAGTTTCTGTCCTGGCATTTGCCTGTAAGAACTGAGGAATATCAGGAAAAAACCTGACAGGTTATCCAATGTTCAAAACAAAATATGGACCACAGGAATCCCAAATTCCAAGGAGCAATGCAAACTACTTACATTCAGTAAAAATATAAATAGTACACAATTAGATTATAAAGATATATGTAAATTCTGGAAAGAACACACAACACCTGCTTTATACGTCTACAGACATCAGTATTTTTTTCTCTCACAAAAGTTTACAATTGCTTCCACTATCTGATAATAGAAATACATAACCTCATAGTTCGCACCATCGCTGTTATATGCACAATTACTAACTCAAAGTTAGAGAAATCACATACAGAGAACACCAGTAAAAAGATAATCACAAAAAACAACAAACAATTATTAACTGTCCGGAACAGGATCATACTTCAACCTTCAATTGCAGAAAACGATTAAGTCTTCTAGCTGCTATCCTCATGATCTCTCGGGAAGTGTCTGGTAAATAAGAGTTCTTCTTCAGATTGAATATGAAGATGGCTGTCTTCAGGGTTGTTACGCCTTGTAGTCTCGTAGAAAGTGGCCGACGTTTCACTGATACTTGCTTCCCCCATCAACTTTCATTGTGGAAGTAGCAAGCACCTCTATAAGACAACCATCTTCAAGGCTTGGAAGAAACAGCTGTTTGATGAAATGCATTTTCCCCTTGGGCCATGTGGATCACATAAATTTGCGTCATCACAGGATAATACATAACATTACAACTGATGGTACTGTTCGCGAGTAAGTGTGTTTCACACAGGTGTCAACTTCTATGGCTGCTACTTTTGCAGGCAGATAAGCAGAAACCTGGGTTAACGCGCATGTGCAGGTCACCAGACTACCGAAACAAGGCTGTGTTCGATGAAACCTAAAATTGTCTGGTAGTATACATCCGCTTAAAATCGCATGACTTGAAAATTAATAAGCCTGTAACAATAACCGCAGGCGAAGCTCCATAGAGTTATAATTCAAAGAGTAACGCTCCTAAAATGTGATGGGTTCCACTAAACAAAGTTTAATTTTAAAGTCTGCCAAGTTGTAAGGCGGCCCGGCGGTGTATATACTGTTGAACGGAAATAACTCCAACACAAATAAAGAGTGTCTATGTCAACTCATTGAAAGCATTAAAAAATAAAATTCTAGTCTAACGTAAACCCGTATCCATTACATTGACGTGGAAAGCCTTAGTGTCGTTATAAAAGCCAAAATATTTGATACGCTGAACAGATCATCACCGAGCATGTCAGACAATGTTCCGCGAAGATGACATTTCGCGGGCTTCGGCATAACATGGGCAGTCCACCAGGATGCGTGCCACAGTAAGTTGGACACAACAGTTTCTACAGACACATGCCGACTTTCACACAACAAATACCCACGTGCGAAGCGCGTATGATGTAACCGGAAGCGAGTGGATTTGACTTCTTCCTTCCTGACAACAATGAAAGATGGCTGCCACTCCTGCACAGATGGTTTCACAATTCGGGTCACTGCAGAGAGATCTACCAGAGACCAGCTACCCGACAGAACACAACAGACTTTCCCGATTTTTGGAGGTTGGGGCAATTGAATCAGGATCTCAGCAACGATGGGATGATCAGGAGAGTGCCCAATGACTCACTGTAAAGCGCTTACGCAGTCTGAACTGAAGTTCCCCACCAGAGCGTGCTGTCAAGAATGAGACTCAGAAACATGGAGGGGTGAGGATGTATCGACATCAGGTGTGTGAAATGTACACGGTGGGGTTTGTCTGGTGAAAAGGAAAATCCATTTTCCACAGCCCACCATGACAGATGGCGTTCGATAGTCACCATGATCCTATAACTGCAATAAACAGCAATGCCATCTACAAACAGAGTCACGCACTACATTGTCTTAAGTATAATCCAGACTGTGTATCGGAGAGAAGGTTTTGATTCTCAAGATCCAGACAAAATGACGGTTTACTATGGATTCAATTGTCTTACACGGGCAACTAGTGAGACTGGTTGGTCTATAGCTATTTGCCAGGATAGGATCTCTATGTCTCCGATCATAAATATTCTTTTTAGAACATATCCTTGGTATCTCGGATTCAAATCTTAGGTCGTAGACCTGCTAACCTAACTATGATTATTCCTAGTTTTCGTGAATGACTTGAAAATTAATAAGCCTGTAACAATAACCGCAGGCGAAGCTCCATAGAGTTATAATTCAAAGAGTAACGCTCCTAAAATGTGATGGGTTCCACTAAACAAAGTTTAATTTTAAAGTCTGCCAAGTTGTAAGGCGGCCCGGCGGTGTATATACTGTTGAACGGAAATAACTCCAACACAAATAAAGAGTGTCTATGTCAACTCATTGAAAGCATTAAAAAATAAAATTCTAGTCTAACGTAAACCCGTATCCATTACATTGACGTGGAAAGCCTTAGTGTCGTTATAAAAGCCAAAATATTTGATACGCTGAACAGATCATCACCGAGCATGTCAGACAATGTTCCGCGAAGATGACATTTCGCGGGCTTCGGCATAACATGGGCAGTCCACCAGGATGCGTGCCACAGTAAGTTGGACACAACAGTTTCTACAGACACATGCCGACTTTCACACAACAAATACCCACGTGCGAAGCGCGTATGATGTAACCGGAAGCGAGTGGATTTGACTTCTTCCTTCCTGACAACAATGAAAGATGGCTGCCACTCCTGCACAGATGGTTTCACAATTCGGGTCACTGCAGAGAGATCTACCAGAGACCAGCTACCCGACAGAACACAACAGACTTTCCCGATTTTTGGAGGTTGGGGCAATTGAATCAGGATCTCAGCAACGATGGGATGATCAGGAGAGTGCCCAATGACTCACTGTAAAGCGCTTACGCAGTCTGAACTGAAGTTCCCCACCAGAGCGTGCTGTCAAGAATGAGACTCAGAAACATGGAGGGGTGAGGATGTATCGACATCAGGTGTGTGAAATGTACACGGTGGGGTTTGTCTGGTGAAAAGGAAAATCCATTTTCCACAGCCCACCATGACAGATGGCGTTCGATAGTCACCATGATCCTATAACTGCAATAAACAGCAATGCCATCTACAAACAGAGTCACGCACTACATTGTCTTAAGTATAATCCAGACTGTGTATCGGAGAGAAGGTTTTGATTCTCAAGATCCAGACAAAATGACGGTTTACTATGGATTCAATTGTCTTACACGGGCAACTAGTGAGACTGGTTGGTCTATAGCTATTTGCCAGGATAGGATCTCTATGTCTCCGATCATAAATATTCTTTTTAGAACATATCCTTGGTATCTCGGATTCAAATCTTAGGTCGTAGACCTGCTAACCTAACTATGATTATTCCTAGTTTTCGTGAGCGACCACTAACTTACATTAAAAAAAAATCACCATGGATTTGGTTAGAAAAATGGACGTATTTCTCTATTAATATTTAGACTATTTTATGGTTTATTTAATAACATAGCTCAGACTAACCCATATAGCGTCGAATTAAAATAAACAGGATATGACACAAAATGGTCATGGCAAAATTTGAAGTAATATCCCGTCAGATGTCTTGAGGGACTGAGAAAGACTACGTAAAGTCTCTATAAAAATATTCGGTTTCTGGGCCACGATTCGAACCCGAGAACTCCCGAATCCTAACCTCTCGTCCGCGATGTTACGTGCCAATCACGTAATGTATTCAACACACTTTTGTTTTCCGACAAGCAGGAGATGTTTTGTCTCTGATTAGAAACAGATATTCGTCTTGTTTATTTGTGTCAATCCGTTTCTCCGTAGGCCTGTTTAAAATCCTACCATTTATCACGGAGTCTACAGGCCGTGTGAAACGGTTTATGAAATGGAACAAATCCGCCAACTTCAGTTAGACTGTGATAACTTACCATTGGTTACATTTATGGTTGTCAGTATGAAGACGACACTCAGAACGAACGTTTCACTAAATATCCTCATTTTAAAGATCATGACGTGAGAATCCTTACATTATAAGAGCACACGAATTTAAACCACAAACTGTCCAACTCCTCTTGAACTGAATCACTTTACGAAATACACGACTGTTCAATCTCAATGTCACCACCAACACAATGGTCGTTTTTATCAACTGAAATCGATAATATGTTGACGAATGATCACATCAAGCCAAAACCTTTATTATCATGTCTTTATCTGCATATATGTCATTTCCTTCGCCTCTTCAAGATTTTAATAAACTTATCTGAAAAGAGAAAAGATTCCGATCTTGATAACACAAAAAACAATTGCGAAACTTCCCTTTTCTCTAACAATCGCACGCAATTCTTTTTTTTTTTTAAACGTCTACTGGATAACTGTCATGTTCTTTTCGTGGATTTCCTCCCATGTCCGTTTAATTTAACAAACCACAAATGCCTATGAATCCTAGAACTCTCTAAAACGTATGCCCTTTTATCTTCAGTCATCTCCTATCGTATCTACAGGTTTAGCAACTAGGTTAACTAACCAGCTCAAAGTCCCACGTATCTTATCACAGATACGAGCTTAAAAGTACTTCAATTTACTGCCAGACAGATGTCAGTTCTTGTCAAGATCGGTCATCTCTGCTGTTAATAGATTTACTAATGAAATTCCGTTTCTGTATAAATTTAGGCTGTACTGCCGAGGTTTCGGAAATGTTTACTGTTTCCATCTTCAAGGAGAAGTTACCTATGTGTGGGCCCGTACTATCTGCAGTGTCAATATAAAAACAAATCCTGTAATTTTTTCTCGTAGGAATGAGTGTCGACAATCAAGCACGCAACAATGGAAACCAGCCTTTTAAGCCGTAACGGAAGATTGAAAGTTACAATTCTGTTATCTTATCTGTGACAATGATTATAAATAATATCATGACATCGCATGTATAGTCACAACTTTAAATAAATCAGGCTACATGTACCCATACTGATAACACAATCAGAATACAAGATCTTAATGTATATTCATATTACAAGACACAAACACGAGTATAAACTCTTTGCCTATCGATTCCGAGAAGTAGTGACGTCAATGCGACTTAAGTTGGACAAACACTTTCGTTTCTCTGACAAGTTTCATTCTACTGTGAGTTTTTAATAGATTTCTATCAGCCGTTTCATCTTACAGGATTTTTTTAGCTTAAATTCCTTGTTTAATAAGGAAATAAATGTTATGGGAACATAGTATTTAACCCTATAATAGTTTTTTAACCAGTTGATGGATTTTCAAGACACACGGCATGTCACTTAACCTTTGTACTCCTAAATTTACTCTTATCAATAACACCAATATGGCGGTCACGCGAAATTCCGAGACACTGAAATCCTTCGAATATGCAAATTTTTCTCAAGGTCGTCTTCTGGCTTGTGACACCGCGAAGTCTTTCCGTGGTTTCAAAGTTTCTGAGGACGTTATTATTATTTAGTGTTCTGTCTGACGACAGGTCCATATGAACAGGATCCTTCCATCCTTTTCTCGGACTGGGACCTGTTCATATACGTTCTTGGCAGATGATCCAGAAGTGGTTTGCCATTGCCTTCTTCTGTGTGTGAATGGAGTAATTGTTGGGATGCCACGGAGGAAAACTCCGTGTTGCCTAGACCACGGCCTTGCCCAACACAAGTTATAAATTCGGGCACCGCCGGGAATCGAACCCGAGACCCCAGGATTACAAGGCCAGCGTTCTAACCGCTAGACCACCGTGGCGGTCTCTGAGGACGTATCGATTCATAAATTCAATTCTGTGAGAACCTCAAGTCAGACTCTTAACATGATTTGATCCAAAAAACGATGCAAAGAGAAACACTTCTGAGACGATAAATACAATTATTCCTCATTGCAATCTCTTTGTTTAAAATTTTCGTATGTGTGGTAGTAAGGGATATCTCAACAATGACAATTCAGAAAGCATAACAAAACGAGAATTTTTGCAAGGAAATAAATTCTATCACGCGCAGAACATTATGCTAATGTTTATTTCTTCAACGAAACATATTTAAAAAAAATAAACGTTACAAATAAACCCTGTACAACAAAATAAAACCCAGGTTCTTCTGCCCGTTACTTTTCACACACTCTAATTAACTTAAACATGTTTCGAACCAATGTGTCCATCATCAGGTCCAATTCCCTGCTTCTACGCTATTCCACCGAGAATCTCATACTCCTTGACTTCATCAGTCTAATTATATTTGGTGGTGAGTACAAATTATAAAACTCATTATGCAAATTTCTCCAGTAATTCATCCCTCTTGGGGCCAAATATTCTCAAACACCCTCGGTCTACGTTCCTGCTTTTGTGTCAGAGACCAAGTTTCACACCCATACAAAACTACAGGTAAAATTATAGTTTTGTATATTTTAATCTCTACGTTTTTAGATTACAGACGAAAATACGAAATTTCTGAACTGAATGTTAGCAAAGATTACCAGAATTTAATCTGCTCTTAATTTCGTCATGGATCAAATTAGAGTAGACTACAAATCTAAAGCGATACAGACCAGTAAAATCCTAACTGGAGTGTTCATAGTGACAATCAACCAACCAATGGCCTGCAGGCAATCACACAGTAAACAATGCGGAAGATGGATTGTCAGAAAAAAAATATATAGTTGGAGAAATCAAACTTTAATTCCAATATTTCCATTGTGTTTATCTACGAATAATAGTCTTAATTTTTTAAAGTGCGTTTATCTGTATATATTCTGAGAATTGTGATAATATTCTGAATTTACACATAAAACTACTCTGCAGTTCGTAAGCGTTTCTTCGTTCGTCCATAACTGCATTTAAGAACGTACGACTCCCCTCCATCATCAAAGCGACGAGTAAATTTGTCATGGCGCTAGTGTCGTTCCCACCTCTCGTTACGCTGCCGTCATGTTACGAACTGTGTAAAACTGAGAATTAAGAGTTTGGGATGACCTCCAATGGCATGACGTCCATACCAAATCCCACTTAAATCAGTCTAGTGGCTCCCGAGTTGATACACGTGGACAAACAGACGGACAGACGCTATCAGTCCAAAATAGTGCAAAGAATGCGTAATAAGAAACGCCTTTAAATGGAACACAAGAGATTTATTTCGTGCTTACAAGAGCTCGCCACTGGATATTACCATGAGACAGACAAATCCAATACAAATTCCAACACTATTTTTGCAAGGCCAATTTTAATATTATCCTCCAATCTACGCCCAAGTTTTCTGAAGGCCACAGCACAGTAATATTCTCTTGGGTACTTTTTTCATACGTCATACTGAGAAACAAAGATACTTCCATACCAAACAATGTGCAAAACAAAATTTTGTACATTTTAATGTTTAACTTTTTCGAAAGATGGGTCAACGAAAACTATTTTGAATTTAACAGAAGAAGGCACAAACAAAAATCCAATTCAGAAAAAGATACAAGCTTAACTACACTGTATTATACTAACACATTTCATAACTTCGAACACTATGCAGTCAAATGGCGTATCTTGGGCACCATAGCAGATGAGCGAATTAGCAACAAAATAGCTGATTTATAGGAAACTAAATTCTTACCCATATTTGGCATGACATACATGCAACCTTTTTGTTTCGACAAAATATTTCCAATTATACAAATATGTTGATAAGCCCTTCTAACATGATTTCATCATTGTTATTTACCTAGAAATTGGAGGAAATGGAGCTAAAGCACAGTGTATGTTCAATGTCAATTCGTTTTAGAGATAACAGTTCATTTCTTCGCGATTCATGAAGGATTGAGTGACAGCTGACAGAACAATAATGAAAGGGCGTTTTCACACGAAGCACAGATAAGGACGCCGTTTGAGGAAAGGCCTGTAGCATTTCTTGTTGTGAACGTATTTTGATTAAATTTTTTCCTGGCGAGCTTGTTAAATAAAATCTTTCAAATGGTTTCAGAAGCAACAGCTACTTTAAAAGCACGACATATCCCGGTTTGACGACCAAGTCCCATCGGACTGCTTCAGAATACCATTTTCTTCAGTTTTAATTTACAGTGACATCTATTTATTTTCGTAGTAACGATTCATGTTTTTTTTGTTTTTAAACAGCTGACTGTATTCGTTTTGCTTTCGATTGGGCTCCCTTAGCATTCGTTTTATCGACACGTCAATCGATTGTTACCATTAGCATTACATTAGCACGCCGCACTGAGTACTGTTCATTCTCAAGTTTCATGCAAGACGTTGTTTGTGGATGGTTACACATACGCGGTGTGTGGGTACGTTCATTGTCCTTAGCCCATGTGGCCAGAGGTCCCTTGTGTTTCAGGTTTTTGCTTTGTACGCCAAGTTTTTCAGTATGGTGGTAAGCTGTATCGGAAGCTTTTCGTTGAAACAGAAAAAATCGTAAAAATACGTTAACGTTGTCGGGCATAACCTCAATGTACAGTCAATTTTTATCTATTCTTGTTCTCACAGTACTTACAGCGTAATCATGTCCTCCCTTCCTTCTTATTCTCTTTATATCTAGCAGTGCGTTTCACATTTATAAACAGCTCTCATTCTCAGACAGTCGCGTGGACTTCTTACTTCAATCCGCCAACTGCTGCATACTTATGATAACACCACAGAATAATATTGACGATTTTTTTGTCCCAAGAAAATTAGTAAAATATTTCAGGAAGTCCTGTCAGACCTAAGGATAAAATCGTTGCATAAACGAGAGCTCTTGTACGATCATAAGGACCCTAGGACAATATAGCTTTTACGTCACGAGCCAGAGGGCAAATGGTTGACTACCTTGTTCATGGAGGCAACAAAAACTTTTGAAACGATGGTAACTTCTAGCAGACTGTTCTACTGGATAACATGAAGACGGGCGGGGAGGAGTCTCTTTCAACATGGGACATCTCCCTCTGACATCTACCGGCGCTCTCAGGATTGAAATAACACCCACCCAAAGTCAATAAGTTTACCCAGAGTCCGGAAGGTGGTACGGCCGTAGGACTACAGAGGTTAACCCAAAATAAATAAAAGGCACTATCCACATTACAAAATTATATTAAATGTATAAGAAGAACCGAAACAAACAGCAAACCAAACTCACACGGCTCAGGCTTCCATCCGACAATGTACCCTGCGCGGCGGACACACACAGACTACCCGCCGCACTGCCTCATCGAAGCCTGCGACTCCAAAGATCGTGGAGATGGGGAAGATAGACCACTCCGAGCCATGAGGCATGGCTCATCCCTCAGAGACTAAAGTAAATAATGCACGAAAGAAACATCCTCATAATAAACAACAAAATTATGTTAACCTTTGTTTTTCTATTACAGTTCTCATATGCAATTTGTTATGAATTAAATAAAATAAAATTCTATAGAATATAATAATCATGTAGATATGAGAGTGGTTGTCTGCATCTCATAGTAATGCATATCAGTCAGGTGTTTATACCATAGTTTTTAAAGTTCAAACATTTGCCACCTCCCTTAGTTATGTATCATTTGAGGGTTTAGCACCTGTTATGCTTCTGATTTATGAGTTCATTAAGCTCAATATTTACTGCTAGGAGTAGCTTAGATGATTAGCCAGAAATTAACAAGGAGTCCTCACAAGCCCCTCTAAAAAGTAAAGCTGTCCCACTATACGCCATATAGGCGCTTAGGGGGGAGGGGGGGATAGCTCCTTCTCATTCTTGATGAGGGTGAGGTCAGTTTTAGAGGTGTTTGCTGCCCTGATGATAGATGCAGCAGGCACCTGTGAAATGCTGATAAATTTCAACCGGACCAGAAGACATCTTGGTACTCACTGCTGTGAGAATTTAAAATCTCACATATTCCAGTCAGTTTACTTCTGAGGTCACGTCTTGAAATTTACAAATGTTATGATATTTGTTATTTAAGCTTGGAGTGGCCGTTACATAACACAGGGTAGTGAAAGACGAGAAGCAGACCAGTAATTAATAGAAAGCCTTTTATTCATAATCCAGGCATTTTTTGTTTCATGTTACTATTTACATTAAAGGACATTTTGCAGTGCTGGACTGTACAAAAAAAAAAAAATTCTTGACAAAGGTTGTAACCCATGGAGAGCTGATACATAACGGCATATAAAACAAGTCTCTACGGCAACTCCTCTTGGTATATAATGAGATACAACCTTAAGAGTCAGGTGGCTCGAACCAACAGAAGCTTCAGTTTATAATCAAGGTTAGAGATCGCTGCGGACTTGAACAGAAACATCAGCTTGGGTAAACGTTTACACTGGCAGTCACCAGTTACTTATATGTTTATTAATGTTAAAACAAATAAATTTTCTAAATATGGACATATTTTAATATATTAACATTCTTTATTACGCCGTCTCCTTTACCGGAGGTTGGTGACATATTATGAACAGGATCCTTCCATCCTTTTCTCGGACTGGGACCTGTTCATATACGTTCTTGGCAGATGATCCAGAAGTGGTTTGCCATTGCCTTCTTCTGTGTGTGAATGAAGTAATTGTTGGGATGCCACGGAGGAAAACTCCGTGTTGCCTAGACCACGGCCTTGCCCAACACAAGTTATAAATTCGGGCACCGCCGGGAATCGAACCCGAGACCCCAGGAGTACAAGGCCAGCGTTCTAACCGCTGTCACTGTACTGTAAACTTATTCTTCAGTTTATGGTGAATTCGTCCGGCCATAGTTTTACTGACCTTCTCGGTCTGTCGGTCACGTAAGAGAAAGTAGTCTATTCAACGGATTCTGTTACTCACACGACATAAAATTTGTGACAAAGGAAACCTAAGGTTAGCCACAATGGAAACGTCGTTTTCTTTGCATTTCTGAATTTTAAGAAATCAAAGCCCGAATATGATGGGGGATTGAACCTGGAACACTATTCAAGAGCGTTCTGTGCCTTGCGTTGAGACAGCTACATCGCCCGAATCATGGAACAGGCTAATATGATGTAGTTTATTTTGGTTTTCAGCCAGTTATCAAACATGATTCAAGTTCCTGCAACACATCATTAACATTTCCTCATTAACTACGCAAGACAGCGGAGATGCTGTCATATTTATTTTTTTCGTAACATACGACACCTTACTTAATGGTAATGGCAATGTCAACTTTACTCTGCTGGATAACTCTCCATGCACAAATATGGGTATGATTAAGGCCAAGATCAGTGAAGTCAGACCAACAAAATTATTAACTAATTTAATTACGAATCCACCTACTGCTTTCACATTAAGCAGACACTTAAAATTGGCAGTCAATTCTAACAAATCATATATGGGTAAAATGTTATTAATAATTGAAATCAGGAACAAAAAAACAATCCTCTAAAACCTAATCTGAATGCATTGAAATGTCACATATCAAACTATGACATTAATCACTGAGGTCTCAGTATAACACAATTAGGTATATAATTTATGTTCATAACCAGCAAAATGCCTTTATTATTGCAATGTTACATTTTTTTAATAGTCCTGTGCCATAGCTGCGCGGTCTGAGGCATCATGGTTCGGACTGGCGATACGGAATACGCGCTGATTCGAGTCTCGGGGGAGAAGAAATTTTCTCATGAGCTTTCGACCGGTGCCAACCCAGCATCGTGAGGAAATTGGGGAGCTACAATGGGTAGTGTAATCTGGTCAGGAAAGCTAGCAATGGCTGGGGGTTCGTCGTGCTGACCACACGTCACCCTATATCTGGTTGGATGATCGTTCACCTCTGCTTAGGCATGTGAACGTGAGGCCAAGCTAGTCGGCTTTGGCTCTCTGGAGCTGTTACGCCACGGATTTAATTTGATTTTTTACATTTTTAATATATGACTCAGATCTATTTTGAGTTTTGACAGGACTGCCAAGAACTTACTTCATTCCATTTTGCAACATTTATTATTCAGAATAAAACTATTATTACAATACGCAGACCATGTTTTCAGTTGTGACTTATCAACAGATGTTTTATTTTTACTGTACGCCTGCATTAGATGTAACTTTAAAATCAGAATAATATTGGGACATACTGATAACTACTGAATGGCCAAAGGGGGAACACGCTGTTAATGCTTCAAAAAAAACCCACAGCAAAGAATTAAAAACATAAAAAATAGTCCAAAGGAAACAGCAAATAAAGCAGACGTACAAGTCACTTCACTGCCATGACTCCGCCACACAAGGTACAATAACACTGCAATAATTTACAGTTTCGTAATTAACAAATTGCGTTTTATACAAAATATCTCAACGTGCAAAACCGCAGATACATTTTTTCATCTTTCGAGGCTTGACATAGTTTTGTGAAAGAAACCCAAGGTTATCTTCATCTTTATTTAATGCTGATGGATCTTGTCTGTTTGCATGTTCTTCAAGATACCACTTCTTATACCATTTTTACAGGCAAGCATTTGCAGATAATTTTCACATGTTGGGTGCCAATTTTATTGTGGCAAATGCTTTGGTCTGGCTACTAGTGTGTTGTCAGACGACTAATATTGGAGGAATACGAAAGAAATTTTTTAGTGTACAACGCGATAGCGGCATATTATTATTGTTATTGTTAAAAACTTAATAATATTGCACTTCCACATGACCCGACTTCTAGACCAGGACCTGTCGCTAGTGACCTGGCTCAAACATTCTTTCATGAGGTCGAGAGAAGTCTATCGGCTTCTCGGAATAGATACAGAACTCCGTCCATGTACATGTGGGTATGTTTGCAGTCCTCAGGAGGTTAAATAACACCTTTTTCAAATGCAAAAACTGATATTGTCGCATCTTGTGCATATGTCAGGCCGACATTGGGCATTGTTTTTGTGCTGGCCAGGCTCATTTATCCCCAAAAGTAACTTTTTTGTTCTCTAGAATGACCGCTCAGTTCATATGTTAACAGAGATGAACAATTGCGTTTTGATACACTGAACATTATTTCAAAACAAGAATTCATTTGTTTCCCACAAAAGTTTTCTGCATTCTGATCAATATTACGGGACCTTCGACTGGTATCCATCTTGTGTGGTAGCTGGAACAAGATGACAGCAATTCACTTTTTTTTTTTCCATTTGGTGTTCCAGTTTCTCTTCCATCTTCTTCACAAACAACGAGCAGAAGTATCACATGGACACAGGTTTGCACCACTTCACAGATGTGTCTCATATGCAACACATCTTTTTGTACATCATCACTTAAATGTGGTTGAGCCCAGAACAGTTTGTCATGGTTTTATTTCACTGCACCATCAAGCATTTGCTATGGTTGTACCTAAACTAAGCCTCTTTATCCGTTGAACGTCAAAATCCATCATCATTCCGTTTTATCCGGAAGCAAAGCAATGCTCAATTTCATACCGTAACCAAAGGGCCAACATGACACACTTTGAACAACTTCAATTGTCTTTCCCAGGGCTCCAGAGCCACAATATAAATCTACTGCCCGCTTAATAAAATCCACTCGCTCAGTTTCAAACAATTCCTCATATAGATAATTTAACTTCCCAGAGGTCTCTGATAACGTGCTGATGGTGAGTGGATAAGCATATTCCTGGGGTCCTGATCTCCAATAATGACCTTCATAACACTTTAATTATGACAGCAACATCACCAGGAACAGTTCACCTGTTACATAAGAAATGTATCAAGACTGTTCACGGTTTCCAACACTTACAACACATCACTTCGGAATCAACATGACTCCATCGTGCTGCTGCTCCTTGATGGAAGGCTGTTTCTTCATCCCTCCCTTGACCGCCTTGCCACCTGCTTCATCTCCATAGTCAAGCTGATCTGCATCGTCATCCTCTGCAGGAAGACGTAACAACATTTAATGCAATATTCAGCTCCTCTAATATCAAGCTTTTTGTATAAGACTGTCCACAGTTTTTACTAAATGTTGTGGTGTTTACACACCTGCTTTATATTTAAGTCATCCCAGAGTTCAGCTATTGTGAGCCAGGTTTACAGTAAGTAGATTTCTGTCTTCTGGGTTTTTGCGCTGTGTAGTCTGGTCGATGTTTACCAACGTTTCAGAGGTCATACTGCCTCCGTCATCAGAGTATGAAGATTTCTGTCTTCTGGGTTGTTGCGCTGTGTAGTCTGGTCGATGTATACCATTGTTTCGGAGGCCATACTGCCTCCGTCATCAGGGCGATCGCCCTGATGACGGAGGCAGTATGACCTCTGAAACGTTGGT